CAGCCCAGGTGACTCACGGTGAAGATCTCCACGATGTCGTTGGAGGTTGTCCTCACGGGGTCCATCAGGACCCAGATGTCCCTGTCACCCCCAGATGTTCCTCAAACCCCAGCCCAGGTGTGTCCCCAGGTGTCTCCAGCCCAGGTGTGTCCCCAGGTGTGTCCCCAGCCCAGGTGTGTCCCCAGATGTCCCCAGGTGTGTCCCCAGGTGTCCCCAGGTGTGTCCCCAGCCCAGGTGACTCACGGTGAAGATCTCCACGATGTCGTTGGAGGTTGTCCTCACGGGGTCCACGTCCTTCTCGCTCAGCACCCGCATGAGGCTGACGCCGTCGGTCTCCAGGATCCACTCCTGGAGCGCCTTGAACTCCCCGTCCTCGGTGATGATGATCTTCTTCTTGTTGTCCGTCTGCGGCAGGTGCATGTACACCTGGCCAGGTGGGGACAGGGGTCACCACGGGCCACCACGGATCACCACAGGTCAGCATGGGTCAGCACGGGCCACCATGGATCACCACGGGTCACCACAGGTCACCACGGGTCACCATGGATCACCACAGGTCACCAGGGGCCACCGCGGATCACCACAGGTCAGCATGGGTCAGCACGGGCCACCATGGATCACCATGGGTCAGCATGGGCCACCACGGGTCACCATGGATCACCACGGGTCACCAGGGGCCACCGCGGATCACCACGGGTCAACATGGGTCACCATGGGTCACCACAGGTCACCACGGGTCACCATGGGCCACCACAGGCCACCATGGGTCACCACAGGTCATCATGGGCCACCACAGGTCACCATGGGCCACTGTGGGTCATCATGGGCCACCATGGTGTCACCACGGGCCACCATGGGTCACCACAAATCACCATGGGCCACCACGAGCCACTACGGGTCACCATGGAGCACCACGATTCACCACGGGCCACCATGGGTCACCACGGGCCACCATGGATCACTGCGGGCCACCACGGGTCAGCATGGAGTCACCACAGGTCACCATGGGTCACCATGGGCCACCACAGGTCACCACAGGCCACCATGGGTCACCACAGGTCACCATGGGCCACCATGGTGTCATCACGGGTCACCATGGGTTACCACGGGTCACCACGGGTCAGCATGGGCCACCACAGGTCAGCATGGGTCACCACTGGTCACCACGAGTCACCATGGTGTCACCATCGGCCACCACGGGCCACCATGGGTCAACATGGGTCACCACGGGCCACCATGGGTCACCATGGGCCACCATGGATCACCACTGGTCACCACGGGTCACCATGGTGTCACCATCGGCCACCACGGGTCACCATGGGCCACCATGGTGTCATCACAGGTCACCATGGATCACCATGGGCCACCACGGGCCATCACAGGTCACCACAGGTCACCACGGGCCACCATGGTGTCATCACGGGTCACCATGGGCCACCACGGGTCACCATGGGCCACCATGGATCACTGCGGGCCACCACGGGTCACCATGGGCCACTACAGCTGTCCTAGATCTTCTAAAGGTCTCCTGGAACCTCCCAGAAGTCTCCA